TTTGAAGAGCAAATTAAATGGCGGAAATACAATCAAGGCTATCAACACCTGGGCCATCCCTGTCATTAGATATACTGCCGAAATTGTGAACTGGACAAAAGCAGTGCTGGATGATCTGGACAGAAAAAACAAGAAAACTGATGACAAACCACTACTCATAAAATAAATTTGTTTGCAGATGATACCCTTTTATCAATGGAACATCCAATAAAACAATGGGAGAAAATTGAGACCCATTTAACATAATTCGGATTAATAAAAGGTTTACAAATTAATTGGAACAAATCAGAAATGATGATATTTAACTATCGAGAAGAGATAAAAAATATAAAACAGGAGGGGAAAATAAAAATTAAAGAAACAATTAAATATTTTGGGATAAATTTAACTAAATAATTTTAAAAAATTAGAAATAAACAATTTAACCAAATTAAGAAAGGAAATTGATAAGAAATTAATGGAATGCAACAAACTCAAATTATCATGGCACACTGGGTGCAATGCCTAAAGACCTTGGCCAGCACTTAAACACAATCAGCACTGAAAAAATTACCATCCGCCAGCTGCAGAAGGCCACCTTACTGGGATATGCATGCATTATTCGCCAATACCTCACACAGTCCTAGACACTTGGGAAGTGTCTGATGTGTGACCCAATACAACAGCCAGCAGAGTGATCTTATCTTCTGTGGACTCATCTTGTGTTTCAAATAATAATTATAATGTTAATATTTATTATTATTATTATTATTATTATTTCTTACCTGCCTCACCTCATGATTCGAGGCGGGTTACAGAACAATTAAAACACACAAACACTGCAAAAACACCACAAATACACACATATTAAAACTTAGCTCTATAAAATATCTATAAGTATGTATTGAAATACACAAAACAGAGATTTATAAACAACACGTATTTCAAATTCGAGACTTTTGGAACGTGACAGACAGCAATGTGCAAACTGCTCCTGCTTCCTGTGGCAATTTTAAGGGGAAAGCAGCCTATCCCAAAACTCTAGTGGGTTTCGAACCCATTCAGAACATTTGCTACGTTTTGATCTCATATTATGCATTATAGAATCATACATTTTGTCAAAATGGTAGATTTGCGTGAAGCTCAAAGGAATGGATCGGAGAAGATAAGATCATGTTTACTTCTGCAAACATAAATTTAAATCTAATGTTGGTCCCAAATAGATTTCACGGAATCAGTATGGAACGTATATGTAGTTGTGGTATGTAATTCAGTGGGTCTATTGTGATTGGGAACAATATATGTATATGGGTTGTTGTAGGTTTTTCCGGGCTATATGGCCATGTTCCGGAGGCAGTTTTTCTCCTGACGTTTCGCCTGCATCTATGGCAAGCATCCTCAGAGGTAATGAGGCTCACTACCTCTGAGGATGCTTGCCATAGATGCAGGCGAAACGTCAGGAGAAAAACTGCCTCCAGAACATGGCCATATAGCCCGGAAAAACCTACAACAACCCAGTGATCCCGGCCATGAAAGCCTTCGACAATATATGTATATGTTTATAAGATCACTCTGACCAAAAGGTCATGAGTTCGAAGCCAGCCCGGTTGGAGTGGGTTTCCAACCAATTGTGTAGCCTGTTGTCGACCTTTGCAACCCGAAAGACAGTTGCATCTGTCAAGTAGGAAAATAAGGTACCACCTTAAAGTGTGGGGAGGCTAAATTAACTAATTTATGAGGCCATAAAAAAGACTCCAGCAAAAGCATGCGGGGAATGCGGAAGTACTTCATCAGTGTCGCAGATGGACGATGAAAGCGACAGCTCCCCTGGTGGCCAGAAAAAGTTAAATAGCCTCTGTCTATGTCTGTATATGTTGTATGTCAAAATTGGCATTGAATGTTTGCCATATATGTGTACACTGTAATCCGCCCTGAGTCCCCTGTGGGGTGAGAAGGGCGGAATATAAAAGCTGTAAATAAATAAATAAATAAATATACATATAAATAAATAAATAAATAAATAAACCATCTCCAAGGATCCACCCTCACTGGCCATGCTAGAAGATCCTTCTGGGAGCAGAAATCCCAAATTTGGTGCTGGTCATTGACCATAATGTGTTTCTGCCCCCAGAAGGATCTTCTAGCATGGCCAGTGAGGGTGGATCCTTGGAGAGGAAGCCCAAAACAGCTGGAGGACCAAAGCTTGAGAAGCACTATTGTAAATATTAAGGAAGTCCTAATGTATTTGCTTGACATCTCAGGCTGCTAAGATGTTCAACTACGCTCGCTGGGAGAATACCTGCAGTGTCCTTTTTGTCATCTTCTCCGTTGCCTTCTTCATCACACGACTCATTCTCTTTCCTTTTTGGTGAGTTGAATTAAGGGACGGTTTTTTGCTATTATCTATATATATAAAAATGCTCTGTGCATAATGAGTACCTTAAAAACAAAAGAACCAATGAACAAAATCACACCAAAATTGGCAACAAAACATCTCACAACACAAGGAGTGACCATCACTCAAAAAATTATGACTTTGTCATTTGGGAGTTGTAGTTGCTGGGATTTATAGTTCACCTACAATCAAAGAGCATTCTGAACTCCACCAATGATGGAATTGAACCAAACATGGCATACAGGACTTCCATGACCAACAGAACACACTGGAAGGGTTTGGTGGGCATTGACCTTGAGTTTGGGAGTTGTAGTTCACCTCCATCCAGACAGCACTGTGGACTCAAACAATGATGGATCTGGACCAAACTTGGCACAAATACTCCATATGCCCAAATATGAACACAGATGGAGTTTGGGGAAATAGACCTTGACATTTGGGATTTGTAGTTACTGGGATTTATAGTTCACCTACAATCAAAGAGCATTCTGAACTCCACCAATGATGGAATTGAACCAAACATGGCATACAGGACTTCCATGACCAACAGAACACACTGGAAGGGTTTGGTGGGCATTGACCTTGAGTTTGGGAGTTGTAGTTCACCTACATCCAGAGAGCACTGTGGACTCAAACAATGATGGATCTGGACCAAACTTGGCACAAAATTCCATATGCCTAAATATGAACACAGATGGAGTTTGGAGGAGATAGACCTTGACATTTGGGAGTTGTAGTTCTAAAGAGCATTCTGAAACCCACAAATGACAGAAATGGGGCAAACTTCCCACACAGAACCCCCATGACCAACAGAAAATACTTAAGGCCATCCAGTCCAACTCTCTTCACCAGGGCAAGAAAATGTAATCAGAGCCCTCCTGACAAAGAGCCATCCAGTCATACATATAGATAGATAGATAGATAGATAGATAGATAGATAGATATGATTCACACACACACAGATATAGTATCATAGATTTGAAAGGGACCCTTAAAGAAGGACAATGATATGTTGCATGTTCCAGGGTGGGCAAACCAGACACTCTCCACATCAACACTGACAAAGAAACAGCAAGAAATACTGTTTACCCACAAGCATAAAGAAATTACATATATTAGAAACCAACACTTTCTCATTACTTTATTTTCCAGATCAACAGACTGGGCCACAGCAACGTGTGGCAGGGGACAGCTAGTATATTATATTTTCTTTAATCTCACAGCAGCATTCAATTCATGTGCTTGCTTCTAATGGTGGCTCTTTCGTGTTGACGATTTTATTTAAAGTAGTCCTCCCTCGATTTTGGGATTTCTGTTTTGTACAACTGTTTTTAACAACTACGAAAGGTCTCCGTTGAGTAATGCAGCAGGGATCTTCTTAATTTGTCACAATGTGTTGTGTATTTCAGGATCCTACGGGCTACGCTATATTATCCTTCCTTGTATACAGATGTACTTGTTCCAGCGTACTTCTTCTTCAATATACAGCTGTTGATTCTACAAGGTCTACATATCTACTGGGGATACTTAGTCTTCAACATTCTGAAGAAATTCATTTTTGTAAAGGTAAAGAAACCCAAGGGTTTGGTGGAATTTTGATAGAAATATGATTGATGTATTGTCAAAGGCTTTCATGGCCAGAATCACTGGGTTGTTGTAGGTTTTCCGGGCTGTATGGCCACATTCTAGAGGCATTCTCTCCTGACGTTTCGCCTGCATCTATGGCAAGCATCCTCAGAGGTAGTGAGGTCTGTTGGAAGTAAAATGGGTTTATATATCTGTGGAATGACCAGGGTGGGACAAAGGACTTTTGTCTGCTGGAGCTAGGTGTGAATGTTTCACCTGACCACCTTGATTAGCATTTAATGGCTTGGAAGTGCCTGGGGGAATCTTTTCTTTGAGAGGTGATTTGATGTGCCTGATTGTTTATTCTCTGTTGTTTTGCTGTTGTAATTTTTGAGTTTTTTAATACTGGTAGCCAGATTTTGTTCATTTTCATGGTTTCTTCCTTTCTGTTGAAATTGTCCACATGCTTGTGGATTTCAATGGCTTGTCTGTGTAGTCTGACATGGTGGTTGTGAGAGTGGTCCAGCATTTCTGTGTTCTCAAATAATATGCTGTGTCCAGGTTGGTTCATCAGGTGCTCTGCTATGGCTGACTTCTCTGGTTGAAGTAGTCTGCAGTGCCTTTCATGTTCCTTGATTCGTGTTTGGGCGCTGCGTTTGGTGGTCCCTATGTAGGTAGTACCAGTATTATATCTGGCTATCAGTATTAAAAAACTCAAAAATTACAACAGCAAAACAACAGAGAGTAAACAATCAGGCACATCAATTCACTCTCAACAAGAGATTCCTAGCCCAAAAAAACCCACAAGAACCTAATCAAGGTGGTCAGTTGAAACATTCACACCTAGCTCCAGCAGACAAGAGTCCTTTGTCCCACCCTGGTCATTCCACAGATATATAAACCCTTTTCCTAGTTCCAACAGACCTCACTACCTCTGAGGATGCTTGCCATAGATGCAGGTGAAACGTCAGGAGAAAATGCCTCTAGAACATGGCCATATAGCCCGGAAAACCTACAACAACCCAATATAATGGTCCTCAGTTGCAACCATTTCATCCAGATGTGTGTTTGTCCATCTGTCTGTCTGTCTATCTATCTGATGATCCTCAATTACAATATCTCATCTACCTCCCTACCTACCTACTTATTTAATGATCCTCAATTACAATCTATCTATTTATCTGATGAAGCTCAATTTCAATATTTCACCTCTCTATCTATCTATCTATCTATCTATCTATCTATCTATCTATCTCAGGGGTTCTCAACCTTCCTAATGCCATGACCCCTTAACACAGTTCCACATGTTGTGGTGACCCCCAACCATATAATTATTTTCGTTGCTACTTCATAATTGTAACTTTGCTACCATTATGAACTGTAATGTCAATATATGCAGGATGTATTTTCCTTCACAGGACCAAATTTGGCACAAATACCTGATTCACCCAAATTTATATACTGGTGGGTTTGGGTGTGTGTGTGTGTGTGTGTGTGTGTGATTTTGTCATTTGGGAGTTGTAGTTGCTGGGATTTATCATTCACCTACAATCAAAGAACATTCTGAACTGTACCAACGATGGAATTGAACCAAACTTGGCACACAGAACTCCCATGACCAACAGAAAATACTGGAAGGGTTTGGTGGGCATTGACCTTGAGTTTTGGAGTTGTAGTTCACCTACATCCAGAGAGCACTGTGGACTCAAACAATGATGGATCTGGACCAAACTTGGCACAAAAACTCAATATGCCCAAATGTGAACACTGGTGGAGTTTGGGGAAAATAGACTTGACATTTGGGAGTTGTAGTTGCTGGGATTTATAGTTCACCTACAATCAAAGAGTGTTCTGAACCCCACCAACGATAGAATTGGGCCAAACTTCCCACACAGATCCCCATGATACTGTGTTTTCTGATGGTCTTAGCCGACCCCTCTGACACCCCCTCGCAACCCCCCCAGGGGTCCTGACCCCCAGGTTGAGAAACACTGATCTATCTAATGATCCTCAATAACAATCTCTCTATCCTCAATAACAATCAATCTGTCTGATGATCTTCATTTACAATAATCTAACCTATCTTTTTTCTTTCTTTTTATCTATCTGATGATCCTCAATTACAATCAACTCAACTACCTATCATCCACCCACCCATCTGTCTGTCTGTCTCTGTCTTATTTGATTATCCTCAATTGCAACCATCTCAACAATCTCTCTATCTATTCATCTACCCATCATGACTGACCACACAGTATTCTTATAAAGCAGTGGTACTCAACCTTCCTAATGCCGCGACCCCTTAGTACAGGTCCTCATGTTGTGGTGACCCCCAACCATAATGTTATTTTCGTTGCTACTTCACAACTGAAATTTTGCTACTGTTATGAATCATAATCTAAATATCTGATATGCAGGATGTACTTTCAGTCACTGCACCAAATACCCAATACACTCAAATTTGAATACTGGTGAAGTTGGAGGTAATTGATTTTGTCATTTGGTAATGCTGGAGTTGCTAGGATTTATAGTTCACCTAAAATCAAAGAGCCTTCTGAACTCCACCAATGATGGAATTGAATCAAACTGGGCACACAGAATTCCCATGACCAAGAGAAAATATTGGGAAGGTCTGGTGGACATTGACCTTGAGGTTTTTTGGAGTTGTAGTTCACCTACATCAGGAGAACACTGTGGACTCAAGCAATGATGGATCTAGATCAAACTTGGCACAAATACTCAATATGCCCAAATGTGAACACTGGTAGGGTTTGGAAAAAATAGACCTTGCCATTTGGGAGTAGCATTCTGAACCCCACCGATAGAATTGGACCAAACTGTCCACACAGAACCCCCTTGATCAACAGAAAAAACTATGGTTTCTGATGGTCTTTGGCGACCCCTCTAACATCCCCTCGTGACCTCCACAGGGGTCCCGACCCCCAGGTTGAGAAGCACTGTTATAAAGGAAGCAAATGATGTGTAATCTTCCTGAGAAATGTGAATGTAGGCAACAGAAAAGTTAACAGTGAGAAAAAAGGAGTGGAATTTAAAGAAAGGGGAAACACATTGCTAAGGAGAGCTGAATACTGCACCAATTACTGCATTGCTTTATTAGGGAACCATCCAACCAGCAAGAGCTTACTCAGATCAATGACCATGCCCATGCTAGTTGTGGGATTCAGGGATCTGGAGTCCAGAAATGTCCCCTTTTCAGAGTCTTGTCCATTTCAGCTCATAACATCATAATTATCATCCTCATCATTGTTGAATGACCATGGCCATGCTAGTTGTGGGATTAGGAGAGCCTGAATTCAAGCGTAACAAAGATGGGAGTAAGGAGGAAAGTGAGGTAGAGATGATTTTTCAACAGCAGTTGAGCTGAAATCCGTGAATCCCACAACTAGCGTGACCATAGCTATTCAATAATGTTGTTATTGTTGTTCTTGTTGTTGTTCTTGTTGTTGTTACCTGGCTTCTTACAGCTCCTCTTGTTGCAAATTCTAGAAGTTATAATTTGAAGACACTTAACTTTTCCAAGAATGGAGGAAATGTTTTGTTGAGGAATTCGTTTGGGTGCAAAATTATTCCCATTCCAGGTAGAGCAGGTTGAGGTGGACAAGCAGTTGTGGTTCTCTCCTAGATTGGATCTACACTGAGCACTTATTCCAGGATAGAGCCAAGCTAGGAGAGTAGCAGATGCCATATTGGCCCCAGAATGGTTTAGATACACCATCCCTTTGTACTGAATGGTCGGTGTAGATTTGTCCCTGGATAAGCGGTGTATCTGAAGTCCACACCAAAAAACCACACACCTGCCATCTCCTGCTACTTTGCCAACTGAGATAACTTTAGCCCACCTGCACTCTATATCTGTTTTTCCATCCTGGGGGCAAACTTGACAGCAAAAAGAGCCGGCACCTCCAAACCTGTCTATTCTGTAAATAGTTGTCTTTAAAACAGGACGTGTAACCTTTGCCCAACGGGAAGCCAGGGGGCCCAAAGAGAAGTTCTCAGAGGTTTCCACCACAAACAGTCTTTAGATGGCTTGAGAAGTACAACAAAGTCTTTTATTAATGAACAATCAAACAGAAACTTCTCTTGTCTTCAGTAAAGTTAAGCAAATGATTCCAAGCTTTTAGGCAACTGGTGAATTCCTAATCTTGCCCACGAAGGACAGGCAACTGTCTTCAATAACTTCTTCTTTAAAGGAAAATCCCTTTTTAACTTCTCCCAGGCTGACTGTAATCTAACCCTTACTGATGGGCTCCGCTACCGGGTCGAACTGCTTCTCGAACGCCGAGTGGACCTACCAGTAAAGGCTTAGATGTTCTCCAGCTGGAGTTCTTTGGTCTTTAGGGCTGTTTACCTGGAAATTCTTTGGAGACTCTGAAGACTATTCTTCCCCGGAAATTCTTGGATGCTCGTAAGACTGTTTTCCCCCGGAAGGTCTTAAGGGTTGAAGCTTTTGTACAGGGGAAAGCTTGCACACATCCTATACATTAGTTTTCCTTGCTGAGACTAACTAAAAATGGCTCCCTTCCCTTCCCAATTGCCCTGAGCAAGGGGCGGGACCAAAACTTAACAATGATGGACAGGTGACTTGCCCTATGACTGCAACCAAAGAAGCCATCTATCTGCAGAGTCCCTGAAACCTAGGACTGCAACCAAACATTTAACACAAAGCAAATAAAGTTGAAGCTCCTGATACAGCTGTACCAGAACACTGTCAAACCAATATCAGAAAGAACCTGTTTGACAGGCTGAGTCCTGGGACTGTTTAGAGAAGCAGTCATGTTAAGCAAGACTTTTTGTCTGTTCATGCAGAATTGTTAAGGTAATTCATTCAGATTCAGGCAGCACGTTATCGTTAATATATTGCAAACACGAAAACTGTCGTTTGCAAGTTATTAATTGCTGGAGGAATTAAGGCAATTCTAAACTGTATCCTTAGGGCAGAAGTATTTGTGCAAAGGAGGGACACGGTTATTTCTAACAGC